CTTATAACTATGCTATCATCGACATCACTGCCAGGGTTAAAACTTCCGTACTGGACGACACTAAAGCCAGTGAAATATACACCTGATGTGATTTAGATATACACAATGAATATTAAAGAACACCCTGTGTGTGTCTAAGATATTTCAAGTATTGTCTTGGGGTCTTGTGGATTATTCTCACGTCCGTCAATCTTACCAGTGAAGTATATTAATCTTACCGGTGAAGTATATTGCTTATGTGTGCTTCATATATGTTTATTTATTAATTTATACCTTAACGATATTGTCTAATCATCATCCCATTCATCCTTCTTAGAGCTTACACACACAAAATGAGCAACCAATTGTTTTGTTTTCTGTCATCAAAGGTTCAGTAGTTGCCACCCCCCCCCCCTCCATGTCCTTTAATGGTGGTATACGTCGGCCATTATCACACGACATCGGTCAATTATTTATAATTTTGAATTATATATTGACTGAAATTCATTAACTGATCTTATTATGTTTTGTTGTCCTATCCTCTCGCTTACATTTTTCCGACTGTAGTAGGTAATAAGTGGTCACTGAAACGTCTCCCTCATGGATTTTATCTTCTGTGTATTCACTAGTTATTTGTAGTAAATTATATTCCGGATTTGCTTTTATCTATTATAAACTTCCCGTGTTGCCGAAAACATATATAATAGTGCCTGGTTCTCACGACATTTAGGAAGATCAGTTCATCGTAAGTGATACAGTTATTCATTATAAATATGATCCCAAACAATAACGTTTAGTGATAAAGTTGGTTTACTGATTCTGTATAAACCACCCAAATATGAAGCAACAACAACAACACTCCCTCTGTCAACATTCATTATACACAAGCTTCACCACACACACACGGGCGTTGTTGTCAAGGGTAGCTGTCATACCTGCCCACTTTAACCCACAAGCCTGAAAAAAAAAGATGACCAAGAAAGACTACAAAAAGGTGACCGGCAGATAGAAAGTATTACTGACTCATGTGCTGTGTTGCCCGGTTGTTAACATCAATCTTAGAGGCATTGGAAATCACAGTAGGAAGAAAATATGGATCAAGGAAGTGAAGATTCTAGGACGAGTTGAAAAAAACTACTGAAGAATTAACTGGGGGCGACATAGGTAACACTGGCTTAGTATGGAGATGAAGATATGTTTGAAAGTTCTCATTCCTCTCCTCGCTCTCTCTTCTTACTCTTATTATAGAATGGATATCAATTCTCTAGAGTCGGTGCAGCGAAAAATGACGAAAATATTTCCGGGACTTAGAAACCTTCCATATCAGGATAGGTTAAAGAAACTATACTTGCATTCCCTAGAAAGACGAAGAGTGCGGGGAGATATGATAGAAGTATTTAAGTGGGTGAAAGGAATCAATAAAGGAAATATAGATAAAGTTCTTATAATATCCGAGCAGGATAGGACTTGGAGCAACGGATTTAAGTTGGATAAGTTTAGGTTTACGAGGGAGATAGGAAGAAACTGGTTCTCAAATAGGGTGGTGGATGAGTGGAACAAGCTTAACAACTTTGTAGTAAGTGCTGGAACGCTGGAAAGTTTCTAAAGGAGGCTGGATAAATTCATGGATGATATAGAGTGGTAGCAACTCTCGATAGGAGCTGCCATGCACAGGCCAACCGGCCTATTGCAGACTCCATATTTTCTTTTGTTCTTATGTACTCGTCCTCTTCTACATTTGGACATGCCACCACAACCAAGACCTCTTCAGTAGCTCCAGGTTTTGATACAGTCGTGTGGCTGGACGGGGAATACTTATCATGCTAAAAATTTACGACACATTGAACCACAACCAAACCTATTCCAACAAAAACTTTTCATAGGTATTTCACGAGTTTCCTTCCTACGACATTATTAATTTCTCTTTACTTACACTGTACGCATCACATAACAGTAGTATTAAATCATTACCGTTAGAAATCCTGAAACACATAATTATTAACGTCTTGGGAAACGTTTCTTGATCAGTATGATTAGTTTGTTAACATAAAGGTCAAACGATCAGACTCGCTTCCTCTTGACTTATTGAATGAAGGTATGCTTCTATTCCTAATACACGAAGTTAGTCACACACACACACACACACACACACACACACACACACACACACACACACACACGCACACACACGCACACACACACACACACACACACACACACACACAACACACAACACACACACACACACACACACACACACACACACACACACACACACACACACACACACACACACACAGTGCATGTAACTTTGTAGTGGATTTCTCCCCTACAAACGCTGTTTGTCGCTGAGTAGCCGACCCCGCGAATTCCACAGTGTATGCCTCGTGGTCTAGGTCAACCAGCGCCGCCTTACATGACGGAGGTCAACTACTAAGCCACGCCTACCCCCCCGCTATTTAAGACCTGACCTCGTGGTGACCAGCCTCTTTCTACCTACACCAACTAGCCAGCAACACCTCCTCCTCCTCCGCCTGCCTGGCGGTCCTCGCTCCCGCCGGCGAGCATGGCGACCCACAAGCTGTCCTCCTCTGAGCATCCTCACCAACCAGCTCTCTCTACATCACGCTTGTAACCATGCTGCCTTCCCAGCACCAAGCTGCATTGTACAACCAATACAACATGTATACTAAGAGCACATTGTGAGTTTCCTTTCTCCATCCCATCCTGAGTGAGAACCAAAAATCCCATACCCCACAACTTTCCTTAACTATGTAATTTCATTGACGCATCTTTAACTCATCCGTCCTTCACCTTTCCCTGGGTAACTATAAAGGGTGAATCGTTTCTGTATTACTCACCTCTGCTACTGTGTATCCGGTACATGAAAAGGCTGACCTCTCGTAACAAGTTTCATATTCTTACAATTACACTGATGACTCATATTAGCTCATTCGTCATTTTCTTCATTATCCAAACTTGACAGCTTCGTGGTAGTGGTCTTTTCAGTTTCCGTTCCAAGACGATTTAGTTTATTTTCGGGGCAACTCTTGCGTCTAATGTGATAACAAAGAAAAGGAGACTTGTGGGGTAACTGTCTCTCTGCCAAGACTTAAGTAACTCTTTAACTGTCATAACCGAGTGGCATTTACCTGTCGTTACGGAGGTGGCTGTTAGCTGTTATTACTGAAATAACCGTAACCTGTCATTACTGAAGTAACAATTGTCATTACGAAAGTAACTGTTACCTGTCATTACTGAAGTAACTCACCTGTCATTACGGAAGTAACTGTTACCTGTCATTACTGAAGTAACTGTTACCTGTCATTGAGGAAGTAAGTGTTACCTGTCATTACTGAAGTAACTGTTACCTGTCATTACGGAAGTAAGTGTTACCTGTCATTGATGAAGTAACTGTCGGCTAAGTCAGTTAAGATCGAGTGTGTTATGAACGAAGAGGGAAAATTCACTATTTGTGATAGATGCAGCTGCTCCTGGAGCTATGTGGTAACACTTTCGTTAAAATCTCATAATGGAACTAATGTGTCACATGGATACCAAACTCAGGTGGTAATGAGATGATTAACTAGAGTATCTCTGTTGGGGGAGCGAGGTGGGTGACGTACCACACAGAGGGTAATGAAGGTAGTATAGCGAGGGTGAGCCACTAACATTACACATCCACGCGAAATGAAGCCTCAGCGTAGGGACGGCCGGAGGTTACAGTAGTTGTGACAAAACAATACTAAGCATCCATTACGTCCATTGGTTAGAGGGTGAAAAAGACATTAACATCCTCTTGCCTCATAACAAACTAGAGAAGGTGAGGCCAGAGGATTCCATTGTGGTATAAATATAAATGAACGTCGGCCGCCACTGGGTCGACTGTCCTCACTCACCACTGACTGTGTGGGTGTGATACACTGTTCATTTTCCATCTTATTCGTTTTAGCACTGAATCGTTTCTTGTGAATTCATTTCATGTCAGCTACCAAACGTTGCACTGTGTTTCTAAGTAAAGAAATAATTAAAGGTAACGAGTTCTCCTAGAGTGTTGAGTTCTCCTAGAGCAGGGGTTCTCAACCAGGAGGGAATTTCCCCCCTCAGGTTTTCAGGGGGGGGGTAACTGATACTAATATGGAAAAAATTTAGGATTTTCAGTATTATATGCATATTATTTGGAATGCACTTTTTGAGGCAGACAATCTTGGAAAGGAGGGGGGAATGGCATTCTGACATATGGTGAAAGGGGTGCCTGGGGCAAACAAGGTTGAGAACCACTGTCCTAGAGTATTGAGTTCTCCTATAGTGTTGAGTTTTCCTAGTGTGTTGAAGCCTTTTATTAATACTTTGCATTCATTGATTATTCTTAAAGACAGAATAAAGGTCATAGTATATTTCTATGTAACTAACCTAACCTAACCTAACCTACTTTAGGAACAATTTGGCAATCTTATGATGATAAACGACGTCGAAAATAAAACAGAAAAAAATTTACCAGTTGGTTTTTAAAAGTTCTGTAGACAATTATCCATATTTAATGGTTAAACACACACACACACCGCAAAGAGAGAGAGAACCCATTTAGCGCTCAGTGTATAACCATGGTGGAGATTTTCAGCAACAGATACATGAACTCCTGACCACACACCACCTGCAAGAGTTCCTTGACTGAGAGACGCATCACACTGTGCACCAGACGTTGCAATAGATAACAAAACACTACTTTTATTTTTTAGCATATCAGTATAAACGAAGATAAAAAAAAATGCACGGGAAAAATTATCCTCTGGAATTCCCCAGTGAACTTCCAGAGAATTTCCATAAGAATTGACCAATAGAGAAGGAATCATCCATCTCATTGTAGCAAAATCTGAAGTGTGCTGGTCAATTGCATTAAAGAGAATTTTCGATTTATTTCCTACCGCAGGTTGAGTGGGACGTATAGTTGAACGAATACTAGCATTAAGCTTCTAGGAATCAAGGTCAGCTTAGTTTTCCTCGTTTCTTTATGCCAGCAGTGACGACGGCGAGGAACAAGGAGTTCCTCCCCACATAAAAGGAGTGGACGGGGAGCGGATTGTTCAGTCTTGTCGGCGCCACCAGGAGCAGTCGTGTCCCTTGAGCTCGTCCCTCACTGTCTTCTCAGGTGAGTTGTTTCCTCTTTCGTTTAAGTCATTAACTCATCGTCCTCGCCGGCGTGTTTCCATTCTCCCATTGTCCTCGTTGGCAGTTGTCATTGGGAAGTTTGAAGTGAAAATTAACATTTCTAAATATCGTGAGACGTAAATATGCTAATGTCATTTAGATGTGTGACTTTATGGTTGAATTTTTTTTTTTTTGCTCGTATGTTTCTACATCTTTAGGGCTGTGTGTAAAGCGCTTGTTGTGTGGAAACGTCTCAGGCTAATATCTGCCTTCCGACTGGACAGAAAGTCTCTAGCATAAGCAAAGAGCAATAGAATAGAAGGTAACAATACTCACTTCCTACTACGCATGGCGTGTTTTGCCAGGTTCTTAGAGGTTGAGCTTCACACACACACACCGGTTTATATTTTGGTGATTTTTACGACTTACATATTCTGATGAGCACCTCCCTGGCACACCCTAGGGACAATTCCTAGTGTATGAGTAATGGCCGATATACAGTCATCCACAAAAGTCCTGTCGCCTCTCTTCCTGAACCACGAACCCCGAGATCCAGACTCGCGAATCCGAAGCATATATGGACAGAATAATACATTGGTGTACATTGCGCTTCGGGTTCACAAGTTTGAATCTCGGGGTTCGTGGTTCAGGAGTAGAAGCGACAAGACTTTCGTGGTTAAATACACATCTTACCTAACATAACCCAACACCACAGATCCATCATACAAACATAAGATGCCGAAAAAAATGATCAGGAAACAAAAGAAAAAATAGTGTATACAAAAAATAGATTAGTGATTTATGGAGTTTATATCAGAGGTGTGTGTGTGTGTGTGTTTTGAATTCCTGTCATAAATTGCCTTCAGTCACAATAGCGGGGTAATTTATCAGATTCAGGAAGAGTATCAAAGGCTTTCTAGAACGGAAACTGAAGGTCTTCGTAGTGACAGACTGAGCACTCACAGGGAAAGCACCAAACTGGGAGTGGGGGGAGGGGGATGAGACAGATTGGGGGTAAAGAAGGCACTTACAACTACTTTGGGATGCCCTGTATGTGGTTGGTGTGTTTGGTGGGGGTAGTTCAGGAGGCGTAGCAGTAGGAAACAAATAACCTGATGTGTTATGGATGACGCTAAGTATTATATGCATCAGAACTTGTTGGTGACGTCAAAAAGATCTCTCCAGGTTTTCTAAGTATTGTCAAGATACGACCTGACGGTTTACCGTTATTATACTTATTACTATTATTATTATTATTATTATTAGTAGTAGTAGTAGTAGTAGTAGTAGCATTCCAGCATCGCTGGAACTACATGATGCGTACCATCCCTGAGATCGGACCCCTCCTCCACCCTCTGGAAGAAGCTATTAGTGTCAAGTTCATTCCCAAACTAGTGAAACACCCTGACTTAACCCCAGCAGAAAGAACACCTCTTGCACTTCCACCAAGACTGGGAGGGATGGGACTAACTAATCCAGAGGAGATTGCCGACACTGAACATCAAAATTCACTTAAGCTCACGGCAGCCCTCACGGACCACATAATAGCCCAGAATGCAAAAGGGGAAGTGGATGCCAGCGAAGTAAATAAGATTCGTAGGTCCATTACGACAGATCGGCAGCACTGCCAAAATGACATGTTGCAGTAACTATTGCTGCAGGTTCCAGAAAATTTGACAAAAAAAGTAGCTATAGCACAGGAGGTGGGCGCCTCGAACTGGTTAACTACGTTACCGATAAGGGCAAATGGTTTCAGCCTTAACAAACAAGAATTTGCAGATGCCATTGCTCTAAGGTACGGTTGGCCAGTAGATGGTTTGCCCTCCCAATGCGTGTGTGGCTCTTCCTATGATGGCGATCACGCCATGGTCTGGAAGAAGGGGGGCTTCATATGCATGAGGCATGACGAGGTAAGGGATCTCACAGCAAATATGTTGAAGGAAATCTGCCGGGACGTCATGGTAGAACCGACCCTCCTTCCATTGGATGGCGAGATCTTCCAACACAGGACTTCAAACACATAATAATAATAATAATAATAATTAACGGTTTATTGAAAAAGTTCTGCAGCCCGAAGGCTGAAAATATACATTGGACATAAATGACTTATTACATACATTGGTGGTTTAACAAAAGCCTTCATTAGAGAAAGGTAAAGGAACATACAGTGAACACACAGATTAATGTAGGTGTTGAACAGCAAAAACGTAGTGTAGTAACTCCCTCCCAGATGGTGTTAGGAGGGACCTCACGTGGTGTAGTAGTTCCCTCACAGATGGTGTTATGAGGGGCCTCACGTGGTGTAGTAATTCCCTCACAGATGGTGTTATGAGGGCCTCACGTGGTGTAGCTCACAGATGGTGTTATGAGGCCTCACGTGGTGTAGTAATTCCCTCACAGATGGTGTTATGAGGGGCCTCACGTGGTGTAATTCCTCACAGATGGTGTTATGATGGCTGAGGGCCTCACGTGGTGTAGTAACCTCACAGATGGTGTTATGAGGGGCCTCACGTGGTGTAGTAATTCCCTTACAGATGGTGTTATGAGGGACATGTGGTGTAGTAACTCCTTCACATATGGTGTTATGAGGGCCTCACGTGGTGTAGTAATTCCCTCACAGATGGTGTTATATGAGTGAGGTGTGGTTCCAGGCCTTCCTATCGTAGACGGACTAACACATCGCTGGTAGTTGGGTCTCACAGGCCGTTATCACTGGGTACCTGGGACCTCACTGTGTGAAAGGTCAACTTGGGTACCACTGTTACTGTTGAGTTGTTCTCACTGACTTAAGCATCTAACGAAGCCCGTGTGGACGTCAGTGCTCGAGGATTCTGGACGCGGGGACAGCGAGCTTTCTTCGACATCAGGATTTTTGATCCCATGGCCGCATGTCACCGTAGCCTAGCTCTCGATGCTGCACATAGGAGGAACGAGAACGACAAGAGAAGGGCATATGGGGAGAGAATTCAAAACGTTGATCAAGGCAGCTTCACTCTTCTAGTGTTCACAACCTCTGGTGGGATGGGCCCAAGTGCAAGATGTTTCTACGCCAGACTCGCGGAGTTGATCTCGGAACAGAAGCAGCAGCCCAGAAGTTATGTTACAGCCTGGATGAGATGTCGACTGTCTTTCTCTCTCCTTCGGTCGGCTTTGCTTTGCCTCAGGGGAACGAGAGTTTCTGCCCCTACTCCGACAACTGCTGCAGATATTGACTATGAGGCTACAGTCACTGAATGCCGCATAGATCCGCGGCTCAACTAATTTAACACAGATAGGATAGCTTCTTATGTATTAGGATATTTAATATTAAGGTAAATAAATGGCGGCGAAGGTGTGGCTATTGGGGGAGGCTGGAGGCCACGTTTAAAAAAAAAAAAAAAAAAATAGTAGTAGTAGTAGTAGCAGTAGAAGTATACCAGGCCAAAGAGACATCCGACTACAAGCAATAATAGCAACAACAACAACAAAACAACAACGCGTGTCAAGCCGTCCGCTTAAGAAAGAGATGTAAACAGGAAATAAGAACAGTGAAAGCTTAACATGCCTAGAGTGCAATATAACAATTTATATATTTTCCTGTCAAGATAAGGACGCAGATGTTTACACACAAGAGAATTTGATCAATAACATTTCCCAAGTCCCTGGAGATATTATAATGATATTTTTATTTATAATATTTCCATAAGAGTCAAGTGTGTGTGAGACAGACAAAGGAGTACAATATGACGCAATATGTAATTACCTTCCGGTGTTGCTTACGTACAGTACGGTAATATTTTAAGTCAAGCAGTAGTAAACAGGACAACCAGGCAGGTATTTAGTGCATAAGTCACCACTTCTTGTATACGAACACACTTCATTTCCTTTCATTAATATTCCCTCCTTGACTGTTTAATATCATACAATAAATACTTTAAATTCTAACTAACAAAATCAAAGAGTAAAAAAAGAAACAGATTTTTTTCTACATAAAAAACAATAACTTTGTGGTGGAAAATTTTCATAACAAGAGGACATTTACCCTCAGGTTTCGTCGTCACTAGGACCTGCCACTACCCCCTCTCTCTCTCCTACCATGGTGAGGATGGCTGCTACCATCAAGACGTGTATGGTGTACTGGTTGGTGCTGCTGTTTGCTGCTGTCTGCTCTGCGATGCCTGGTAAGAATTTTATTATAGGGTTCATAGATCGTTGACAATTTATTTCCGATTTTCAGGACATTTCCCGACTTTCCAGGAATTTTTCAGTGTTTTTTTTCCGATTTGTTCAAGTTTATTCTGTGTTTACATGACATTTCCTGTATTTTCTCAATTTATTCATGATCTTCCAGACGTGCAAACAAAGCTATATATTATCTGTCTATCGGATATTCAAAGCTCTATCTTATTTACCTATATCATGTTCAAAGCTTAACTTACCTATCTATCGGATATTCTAAGCTCTATCTTATCTATGTATATCATGTTCAAATCTCTATCTTATAACACTATCATACGTTTAGGGCTTTATCGAAATATTCACCTGTTTTATATTTGATAACAGACATAGTTTGGTTAGCCAAGGTTAAGTCAACAGAATACGACCTGGTTGAGTCATGTTAGCCCGTGTACAAGTTTTTCCTTAAAGAGAAGCGTTAGTGGAAGCTTCTGTCATGACGTCAGTAGCCCAGGAAACTGTTGTTATATTTGTATCTACTTTATTCTACGCCCGTACAGGTCATGACGCAAGTGGTTAGGTTTGTCTGTCCACAAGTGGTCATAGCATAATACGCTTCTCTCTCTTTCCTGCAGCTTGGGTATAGTATCATACATATCATACGTACATCCACTTATCATATATTAGACTAAAGTTCCCGGTTTTATCTTCAGTTACTACCACACTGCCTCTCGGCTAATGTATATGTTTATTGAAGTTTCATGAAACAAATATTACAGTTGCTTGAGTAAGACAGTGTGATAATTGTTTTATTTATCTAATAAGGTTATGTATCGCAGCACACACTGTCACGATGCACCGGTTGTGTGCTGTACATAGCAGCTAAGTCAATGTGGATCACGTGAAGATTAGGCACCTTAGTTCATTTCATCTGTGGATTAAACATCTTAACCTAAACTAAATCCCCAGGTATTACGGTAACTCTGTGTATATGTCAGGTATCCAGGATATAGCACAGGGAAATGAAGGGTCGAGGAAGGTTGTTTATGATGATACAGTATTAGTAACCTGGAGCTGATTGTTGTGTTTCCCCCAGATCGCAGCAGAGAGGCCCCGGTCAATGTGGTGGTCCCTAATACACCCGGGAAAAACTTTACTGATGGGATAAGGATTTTGGGAGGGAAAGACGCCAGTAAACCTAGTGTGGTGAGTGATAACTGTGAAGGGTGCAGCTTTTGTCTACTTTTGATATACTATAACATGTGTTGGATGAAAGTGAAGTGAAAAAATAATATGAACTCTATTTAAACTTTAGAGGAACTGCAACCGATTCAGTCGTTGCTTCTGTTGATAGTAGTTTTACCATTTTATGACTCTAATATTTTGTTAAGTAACGTATTTTTGTCACCCATCACAGGCGGTTCTGATTAGCGTTCCTGTAGTCCATCCTCTGGGCGGTGTCAGTAATCGCAACAACCCACCGCCTCCCATAGTGTTTGGCCCCAGTCTTCCACCCAAGTCAACGCCAAAACCAAGCATTCTCCCGCTCCCCAGCCCCTGGAACTAGAGACCACACCTTAACTTTCACTGAAGAAATTCTGTGACTTTACCTCTGTGGTCAAAACTGTGATAGACAACGACCTAAATGTATTTCTCAGCAACAGATTAAACTTATTTATTTAGTTATTCTTTGATAAACCTAAGTCTTATTTCACTCTTTCTCGAATAGGAATATGAAAATAAAAAGATCACATCATACAACTGATACATTATTTTGTAACTCACACATCACTACGCATCTACGCTCCTAACACCACCACTACCACGGTACCATCACCAACACCATTTTCATCACCACCACTATCACCATAACCCCCACCACTACCTGCTAACTCTATATTTCTACAATTTCAATTACAGTGACATTATAAAATCACACGGACTGTTTGATGTCATTGACTGTCACGTTAAAAAAAACAAAAAAAAAACAGTGACACTTGTAACTATGCTGTCATCGACATCACTGCCAGGGTTAAAACTTCCGTACTGGACGACACTAAAGCCAGTAAAATATACACCTGATGTGATTTAGATATACACAATGAATATTAAAGAACAACATGTGTGTGTCCAAGATATTTCAAGTATTGTCTTGGGGTCTTGTGGATTATTCTCACGTCCGTCAATCTTACCAGTGAAGTATATTAATCTTACCGGTGAAGTATATTGCTTATGTGTGCTTCATATATGTTTATTTATTATTTTTTACCTTAACGATATTGTCTAATCATCATCCCATTCATCCTTCTTAGAGCTTACACACACACAAAAAAAGCCACCCATTGTTTTGTTTTCTGTCATCAAAGGTTCAGTAGTTGCCACCCCCCCCCTCCATGTCCTTTAATGGTGGTATACGTCGGCCATTATCACACGACATCGGTCAATTATATATAATTTTGAATTATATATTTACTGAAATTCATTAATTGATCTTATTATGTTTTGTTGTCCTATCCTCTCGCTTACATTTTTCCGACTGTAGTAGGTAATAAGTGGTCACTGAACGTCTGCCTCATGGATTTTATTTTCTATGTTGCCGAAAACATATATAAAAGTGCCTGGTTCTCACGACACTTAGGAAGATTAGTTCATCGTAAGTGATACAGCTATTCATTATAAATATGATCCCAAACAATGACGTTTAGTGATAAAGTTGGTTTATTGATTCTGTATACAACTTTCGGTAACTGTAGTATACTGAGCTTACGCCATTATGCTCGTGTGTCTCTCTCTAAAATGAAGCCATGCGCATCATCCTAGGTTGCCCAAAATCAACCAGAATTGTAAACATGAGGAAAGAGCTCGGACTGCCCTCCCTATCTGAGAGGATAGCCCTACTTAATACCATGTTTTGTGTCAAAGTTTTGAAGAACAATAGTTCTCAAACTGCAACTCAAACTGAGTTGATGTTCTATCTAAGTAATCCCGACCATCTCGCCAACCTTTCACAAAAGACTCTCTTTGGGGCGTGGCTTCATAAAAGTGTTGCAGATCTCCTGAAACTGAATGTCCCAATCACCCCAGACGAACCTATTAATGCCATTCCTCCTTGGCTGGACATATCAGTTCCTATTAATTACACTCCTGTTGGTAGTAAGCAAATGTTAAACACCGATGTGGTGAGATGTGTCACACTAGAAACTATTAACAGACACATAGAGAGTATTAAATCAAGTGAATGTTATGCTTTTACTGATGGTTCTGTGCAGACAAACACAGGTAGAACAGGCTGTGCAATTGTAATATATAAAGAAAAAGAGATGATAGTGTCAAACAAACAAAGGCTGAACAACTGGGCCAGCACAACACAAACTGAACTAACTGGAATCTACTTAGCCACAGACTACCTCAAAGAAAATGGAGGTGGGGTGATATTCTGTGACTCTCAAAGTGCTTTGAAATCAATGAACAGCCCGTCAGGTTCTATGTCTAAAGTTGCATGTGATATTAAAAGGAATGTGATAACTGCCAATGAGAACAACTTTCGTATCGAATTTGTGTGGATTCCGTCCCATGTTGGAATCAGGTATCATGACCGTGCTGATAGACTGGCCAATGAGGCATGTAAGAAAGAAAATGTTGACCGCGACCTTGGTCTGTCCAATGCCGTAATTAAAAACATTCAAGTCAGAATCATGAACTCTGATCTAGAAGAAGTGAGAAATGCAGAGAGACCTGACAGTTGTAGCATTAGTAAATATGACAAATTTTGTAACAAGAGGTACCGGTATGGCCAGCATAAGGACAGAACCAGACAATGTGATGTAGTCGTGGCCAGAATTAGGCTAGGATACAGACACATCTGGCAAGTTAGTAACGCTGTACCCTTACCGGAACACTCAGCATATAAACTTTGTGATAAACCTTTAAAGCATACAATTGAACACTATATTATTGAATGTGACACTGTCAAAGACTTCAGGCCACCTGACTTACTGTATCTTGAACTATGTAATTACTTCATTGAATCAGGTGTGCTTGAGGACATTCTTGCTGTCTATCCCAAATTTGCTAGCCCACACTGATTAGTCTTCAATTAGAATATGACTCCAATGTATGTGATCCACTGACCCATATATGCTGCTGGTGAATGTGATGTATTTCCTTCTTTGTGTACGAACCTCTGTCCTGCGTGGCAGTGAACAGTGGCATTACCCACATGAATCTGACCTATATATAGTGTCAATGAATATGATGCATTCTTTGTGTACGAACCTCTGTCCTGTATGGCAGTGAAAAGTGACATTACCCACATGAATCTGACCGACGTATATGTATGTATGTGTGCGTGTGTGCATGTATATGTACGTGTACATGTATATGTGTATGTATATACGTATATGTATGTATATGTGTGTGTGTGTGTGTTTACATATATGTATATGTACTGTCAATGAATATGATGCAACTCTTTGTGTACGAACCTCTGTCCTGCATGGCAGTGAACAGTGACATTATCCATATGAATCTGACCTCTATACATTTATAGTTGTTAATGAATATGATGTATTTCTTTGTGTGTGAACCTCTGTCCTGCGTGACAGTGAGAAGTGATACCACCCTCAGTGTCAAGACCTGACTGAATTACTCAGAATAGGCAAACTGTACTACAAGCTCTGCCAATAAATTTGCTAAACTAAAAACTAACTAAAACTCATTTCCATAATTACTTTGAACAGGAAGTATTTCTTTTCAATCAACAAATCAACTTATCTTCAATAAATACTTGGTTCTCTCTCTATATATATGTATGGATTAAAGACTAGGATACCAAATTACATATCCATTTACTATTTTGTAAACGAGATAGAAATAATAATGTTTACCCTCCATTACTTTTTCTATGCTCAGTTTCTTGGTGTTAAAGAAAACTATAAAGATGTCAAGAGGGACTGTGTTATAGAGAATAGTAATAGTAATAAAAAAAACGGTTATGGGGATGATAGACTATGTGTGACTTCTTTTCTCTCATTACCTGTACGTTATTCACGCTTAATAGATCAAGCCCACAATTTATCGGCAAAGATGACTTTGTTAACAACAGTTGGTATGCATTGTCATATCTATCAAGAAATAGGCCAATACGCTTATAAAAAACAATAATGACTTAATTTTAGTCGAAACCTTCGTTGATAATACATAATACAAGGTGATATTATTATTGTTTACAAATATTCTTTCTTTGATCAATTACGAAAATCGGGGATGTAAATAAAGAGTGCCGTCAGGGTCAATGAACAAGAAGACAACAATATGGATGAACATCGTCATAATTTATCCTGGAATTGTTATAGTTAGAACACCCGAGGACAATAATATTACACAAACAATCACTTACTGTTTAAACCTCTTATATTTCTTACTTAAAAAACAAATGACTGTAACGCAATAAGAGACAGGGAAGCTACTTAATCAAGGAAGCGAAAATTATACCAAACTAATAATATATAATTATGGTAATTTTGCTTACAGTAGTTACTATAGATATGACAATTATAATGTAATATTGTGTTATCATTCATCCTTAAGTTTATTACATATCAATAAGTAACCAACAGGAACGGATTGATTTACTCGCTAATTTTCAATAGATGAATCGATAAAATTATATGAAAACTGAGTGAAAACACCAATAAGAAAACAGAGTGTAAATGTAGTTAGTGAGATCTTCATTATAGCAATTTGTCTTGTACTGAAAACTGAATAAAATAATAAAATAAATCCATCTTTACTTCTCTACCTCCTGTTGTGAGAGACGCGGGAGGTGGGGGCTGGGCGGTCGGGGTTAGGGGGCAGAGCAACATCAAGAAAGCGGGAAGGACAAACTGAAGCAAGATAAGTGACAGCGATAGGAAGGATTAAGAAAGCCATTGGTATAAAGACCTACATATACTTGCTCATATCATCAACAAGGACACACACACATAGTCTATGAAGTGAATCGCGTTTAGTCTTCGTTAAATGTCCAACGCCTCAGATCTCAAATGCACTGCGCATGTATAAGTTGAGTGGTCGAAAAAAAAATTACCTTCCCTATAACGGATAAAAATCAGACAGTATACCATAAAACAGTTTGTTATGGTGACACACAAACTCCCGCACTCCCTTGACTGGCTATTGATTGGCTGGACATTTAACCAATAAGAGAACAGCGCAGAAGCAAAGGCCTCCAACACAGTAACGCGCCTTATGGTTTCCTGTTGATTTTCTATTCCAACAAGCGTTCAAACACGTTTTACGGAGACAATTTCACTATTTCAATAACGCTTAATATTTATTCAAGACTTAACAGCATTCCATAAAGTTAAGTAAAAGGTTTGTTTATATATTTATCAAAACGTTATCATCATCAGTTCCCTTTGTAAACACAATATAATAATACTCGAAGGGAGTAAGTTTTTTTTAACTCTTTGTCTTGACGACACTGGTGATATTGATGGATGTGAATCTTTATTACGTCTTATATATATATATATATATATATATATATATATATATATATATATATATATATATATATATATATATTTATATTTATATATATATTTATATATGTGTGTGTGTGTGTGTGTGTGTGTGTATGCGACTGTGTAAGTATTTTTGTATGCATGTATGTTGGCAG